TCTCTTGGCGACGTCACGAGCTGTTTACGTCAGAGTCTGCTGGCCTTGTATCGGTGGTAACGGGTGAACTATTGAGGTCTAGTTGATAGTGATGTTTCCTGGAAACACTATTTTGTGAACAATGAAGCGGAAGGATTATCCCGAATATTCAGAACATCCTGATATTACTTATGAAAATCACACCGATTTATGATTTTTCAACAGGACTCGAAAGGCAACGGGTTCATTCTCTTCCCAATCGATTGATCAGTCCTCGAATTACTTTTAAGTCCTAATTATTATACAAGGTGTTTCAGAGTTGGATTGATGAAAGCCTATGATTCCGCTCAGAAAAATATGGAGAAAAGTTCTCATGAACATGGGTCCGAGAATATTTCGCTTCCGAATTACAGGGTGCTTTGTGAAAAAAATATTGTGAGGAGCATCAAAACTTTTTAATGACAACATCATTCGACCTTTTTTTGTTTCCATGTTTTCGATAACTCCTAAGCATTTTCCTAATGGAATACAGAGGCGTACTCGAGGTATGGTTTTGTTATTTTTTCAAGTCAGGATTTAGAAATGTAATACTTTTCTGAACACCCTGTATGTTCTCTGAACAAGTCTGTTGTCGCAACGATTTGGATCATAATTCAACACTGCCAATTCAAACGGTAAGTGCGTGATATAGTCACTCTGATAGCGAAAAACGCAGCATATCATCGATAGGAACACAAGGGTCGAGAAAACCCTATTTGGTGTCAGGTGTGGGATACTTTACGCAACAATACCAATTGCAAGTTAGTTTGGCGTCAAGTGAAGTTGTTTTCTCCTCGTAAAACACAATTTGTCAGTGATTCTCTTTTCGTCTGAAAATCCACATCCAAAACATTATAATTGAGTGAAGCAGAATAATATTCAGATATTAGGCAGATTTCCAGAATTCGTATCAACCCCCATTTAATGCGATTCAATGTCATCAGTATACGAATTCATTTATTTAAATGAGCAAATGAAGAAAAATTTAATTTATACTTGAATCTTGTTCGATGGAATTCTAAGACGAATAGCGCAACATCAAATAGAATTATCAGTCCTCAAATTTCTTCTAATTCCTAATTATACGAGGTTTTCCATATAGTTGAACTGACAAAAGCCTAGGAAAGATTCCACAAAGCAAAATATAGAAAAAAGTTCACATGAAGATGGTTCCAAAAATACTTCGTTTCTGAATAGGGTATTGAGTATTTCATTAGAAGCTATAGGAAACTTTCCAATGATAATTTCATTTCATCATTTCTGTTTCTTCTCATGAATGAATACAGTGCGATACATATTTGGATGATTTATGAGCATCACAATTTTTCCTAATGAAATTCAGAGACGTGTCGAGGTATGGTTTCCAAATGTTTTTCCTAAAATGAAGCGGGATACTGTATGTTCTCGTTCTCTAAACGAGTCCGTAATCGCAACAATTCGAATCATAAATCAACACTGCCATTTCGAATGGTGATTAGGTGATTCAATCACTTCGGTGCCAAGAAAGCTAGCATATTACGGACAGAACAACGAGGGTCAAGCGAACCAAGTTCATATGAACATCACTAATAGCACACAACGTCCTAGGAACGTCCCTATTCGGTACAATTAACATCCGAATGTCCCGAACCAAAAATAAGTGTCCTTGGGACGTCCCATCCCGTACATTTCATGCAATGTCCGAGCAAGGACGTCCACGGAATGTCCCAGCTGGTCCGAGGAATAGCATTCCTTAGGCGTCCCACGTGGTACATATTGTAGAATGTCCATGCAAGGACGTCCTTGGCATGTCCCTGATGGGATATGATTTTGAACGTTCATTCAGGGACATCCATCGGATGTCCCGAGTAGTACATATACTGGCATGACTTCAGATCTTATATAATGTCCTTCTAGACAACCATGGAATGTCCCTGATGGTACATTCCTTCAAATGTCTCTGCACAGACGCCCTTAATATTTCCAGGATCGTATAACAATCAAAATGTCCTTTAGGGACATTCTTTGAATGTCCCTTAGTGATATCCGTCGGATGTCCCAATTGGTACATGAACTGTACTCTTCCAATGTTCTAGAAATAACGTCTTATGGACGTCCCAGTCGGTACTTTCAATATGTTGTCCCTGTGAGGACGTTAACTTACACCTCTTCGACGAATGATTACTCGTAGGTTATCAGTACTCCTTGTCAATTTCCTTCACGTGAGTCCATTGGACATCCTTGGGACATTATTTGGGGACCTTCTATGGACCATCAACTCAACTGAATGTCCTAATCAGTTATGCAAGATCTGGTTCTAGTGGGACCCAGAAAAATTCAAATTCAAGAATAATTCGTATGTCCCCGGGACATTTTATGGACACCCAATTGATATCCCTCAGCGTTGCTGATAGGTTGTCCTATGGATGTCCTAAGGATGTCCTCTGTAGTGCTTGATGAGGTATACTGTAGGATTTAGGTATTCGATAGTTGTCCCAGGGACATCCGCTCAAGGACGTCCCTAGTTGGTCCTCAAGTGGAACATTTGTGCGTCCCACAGACGTCCAATGGACGTCCACGGTATCTAATTCGAACGTCCTATGGACGTCCTGAATGTCTCAACAGGACGTCCTAAGAATATCCATGGGACGTAAGTGTGTTATTAGGGATGGTTCCAAAAATGGTTCTTTTCCGAACAGGGTATTGAGTATTTGATTAGAAGCTATAGGAAACTTTCCAATGATTATTTCATTTGATCATTTTTGTTTCTCTTCATGAATAAATACAGTGCGATACATACTTGGATGATTTCTGAGCAACACTATTTTTCCTAATGAAATTCAGAGACGTGTCGAGGTATGGTTTCCAAATGTTCTCCCTGAAATGAAGCGTTCTCTAAACGAGTCCATAATCGCAACAATTTGAATCATAAATCAACACTGCCATTTCGAATGGTGATTGTGTGATTCGATCACTCCGGTGGCAAGAAAGCTGGCATATTACGAACAGAACAACGAGGGTCAAGCGAACATTATTTGGTGTCAGCTGTGGGATACGTCACGGAACAATACCAATCGCAAATTAGTTTGGCGTCAGGCGAAGTTGTATTGTTCTCGTAAAACACAATTTGTCAGTGATTCTCTTTTCGTCTGAAAATGCACAGCCAAAACATTATAATTAAGTGAAGCAGAATAATATTCAGATATTGAGCAGATTTCCAGAATTCGTATCAACCCCCATTTAATGCGATTCAATGTCAACAGTATACGAATTCATGTATTTAAATGAGCAAATGGAGAAAAATTCAATTTATACTTGAATCTTGTTCGAAGGGATTCTAAGACGAATAGCGCAACATCCAATAGAATTATTAGTCCTCAAATTTCTTCTAATTCCTAATTATACGGGGTGTTCCATAAAGTTGAACTGACAAAAGCCTAGGAAAGATTCCACAAAGCAAAATATAGAAAAAAGTTTACATAAACATGATTCCAAAATTACTTCGTTTCTGAATAGGGTATTGAGTATTTTATTAGAAGCTATAGGGAACTTTCCAATGATGATTTCATCTGATCATTTCTGTTTCTTTAATGAATAAATGAAGTGCGATACATCACAGCATCACAATTTTTCCTAATGAAATTCAGAGACGTGTCGAGGTATGGTTTCCAAATGTTTTCCCAAAAATGAAGCGGGATACTGTATGTTCTCGTTCTCTAAACGAGTCCGTAATCGCAACAATTTGAATCATAAATCAACACTGCCATTTCGAATGGTGATTGTGTGATTCGATCACTCCGGTGGCAAGAAAGCTGGCATATTCCCAGCGAGCACAAAAACATCTCAGAGATGTTAAAAGTACGAGATTTCGAGACATTGAACCTCCACTGCGATGTTCTGTTCACACATGAATAGAACTATTATAGAACAGCCAATGTCCGCCGCAGGCGGCAATTATCGAGATGTCTTTGATATGTCACAAAACTACCTTCTCCCTAGTTCTTCTTAAAGCCTCTTCATGGACACAAAAAAACATTTTCAACGCGTATTGCGCACATTAAATCGCTGTAAAAAAACATTTTCGAGGTACTTTTCTGAAGCCTTCTGTCAAAATGAACTTTTGCATTAGGATTCCATTTCCCTTGAATGAAAAAATGCATTAAAAATAGATTGAACATAAAAATATTTTCTTGATATGAAATTACCCTTTTAATCGGTTTCTGAGTAGTGCTTACTACACACAGACATATAATTGGAAATAGGTTTCCCACTTTTTGAAATGTTCTCCACAATGAATAATTTTGCAACTGCGGAGAAGCTGTGTATTGATAAACTCGTACTTTTATGTATTGATTACACTGAGGCACCAAACAACACATCTTGCATCTGATGGTCATTATTACAAACTGAATAAGTCTTCTAACACAATCAACTTCACCAAATTCCTTTCTGTTCGTTAGCAGCGTGATGTAAGCGTCACACGCTGCAAACGCGAATGCCAATTGCGAACAAGAAGAACAAAATCGAAAACAAATCAGAATTCATCGTATTGTGACATAAGCATGAGACGTTGTGGTGGGGCAAACAAAGAAATTGCACAAAAGAACAAAAACAATACTTTCAATATCCTTCTAAGACCTCTTTGAGTGCATATTACGCCTCTAAAAAACATCCTCATGCCTACATTTCTAAAACATCCCAAAACATCCCAGGGATACCTCTCAGTAGGCAAATCAGTGCATATTACGTCTCAAAATAACATCTTCATGCCAACATTTTCAAAACATCCCAAAACATCCCAGGGATGTTTGTGCTCGCTGGGTTACGAACAGAACAACGAGGGTCAAGCGAACATTATTTGGTGTCAGCTGTGGGATACATCACGGAACAATACCAATTGCAAATTAGTTTGGCGTCAGGCGAAGTTGTATTGTTCTCATAAAACTCAATTTGCCAGTGATTCTTTTTTCGTCTGAAAATCCACTACGGGCCTTTGTGTTTCAGTGTACGTGTTTGTTGGTGAGCACATAGCCCTAATAGATTTCATAAAATGCCTCCAGAGACGAAAGCTGTTAGAAAGCGGAGATTACGTCGTGATATCCGTTGACGATGAAATATACGACCCCAACAGACGGATCAAACTAATTAGAAGAGGTGAGTATTCCAAGATAATGCTGGATATCTTATGGATATTGGCCATGGAAGGGATCCATGGCCAATTCTGGTCGATATATACCTGGATTTGAAATGGTCATTCATTATACAGTGTGTCCATTTAGTGCGTAATTCTTCGATATCTCGAAATAAATTATCACAAGAGAAAAACTTTGAAGAAAAAACTTTTTCAGTTACTAAAGTTGCTCATTTCGAAAATATTTCCAACAATACTGGGTGTTTTATGAAAGCGGGGCAACTCGAAGACGAGTTTTTTCAAATGGAACACCCAGTATTGTTCATTCGAAATTTAATCCGCTTAAGTTAATTCAAATTGAATTTGGTTGCGGCGTTGCTAAGTTATAATTGATAAACCCATTTTTACTACTATTGAAGGATCATGTTCAATTGGGTATGGTATATTTATTTATTGAAATTTCGAAAATATTTTTGGCATACAGTAGTAGCAAGGTCTCATGTATACCAATCCAGTAATCTTGCGAGATAATCCTCTACAGGGTGCTAAAATTTACATTCTGAATATTGTAAGATTCAGACGACGATCATGAGAATTTTTCAAATGGAACACCCTGTATTTTTCATCACAGATCTATTTCGACATCATTCACCTTTTCATCGCAGGAAAAAAATCAAAATCGGTTGCGGCGTTTTCAAGTTATGAGTAATTTCCTTATTATTACTACTATTTCGGGGTAATTTGTACGTCATGATGGTTCCTTAATTTGATTTGATTGTGGGAATATTGCTTGCCACATGACATTCGAGGTTCTACATAGATCATTCAGGTATTTTTGTGGTATGTGCATCGTCCAAATTTGAAATATTTCGTAATCTTGTTACTTATGATTCAAATAATATGTGAAACAAACGAACATATCAAAAGCAACGCCTGTCTTTGAAACAACTTCTACAATACAAACAATGAAGTTGCGGATTGCGAAAATTAGGACAATTTTTTGAAATTTGGACCATTTTTATTGTCGTCATTCCCACAATCCAAATCTCCATTTAACTTGAAGAAGGTAATCATAATGATACAAACAATATATCTCTACTACGTGGCTTTTGGGAGGGAATTCAGCAAAATGTCGAATCAATCCAAGATATATTTGATTGTGGCGATGTTTGACAGGTCATTACACAAATATTTCGAAAAAATTCAAACTTGGAGAGCCTGTGGATGTTCCATTTGTGAAAAAATATATGAATGGTCAATGAACAAATTTGATTATACCGTAGCAACGCAATATTACCACAATACAAATAAATGAAAGAACTATGACCTACAAATTACCCCGAAATAGTAGTAAAAATAAGGAAATTAACCATAACTTGACAACGCCGCAACCGATTCCGATTTTTTTCCAGCGATAAAAAGGCGAAAGATGTCGGAATGAATTTTTGAATGAAAATACAGGGTGTTCCATTTGAAAAATTCTGTTGAATGTCATCTGAATCTTGCAAAATTCTAAATGCAAAATTAAGCACCCTGTTGAAGAACATGTCGCAAAATTACAAGATTGGTGAACGTTGGACATTGCTTCTACCGTATGCCAAAAATATTTCCAAAATTTGAATAAATGAATATACCATGCCCAATTCAACATGACTCTTCAATAATGGTAAAAATAGATTTATCAATTATAACTTGGCAACGCCGCAACTGATTTCAATTTTTTTCATAGCGATGTGAAGGTGAACCTCGGCGGAAATAATTCCGAATGAACAATACTGGGTGTTCCATTTAAAAAAACTCTTCTTCGAGTTGCCCTGCTTTTATAAAACACCCAGTAATGTTGAAAATAATTTTGAAATGAGCAACTTTAGTAACTGAAAAAGTTTTTTCTCCAAAGTTTTTCTCTATAGGTAATGGCTTTCGAGATATCGAAGAATTACGCACTAAATGGACACACTGTATATCCATGGCAGATATGTAAGTAATTCGTGAAGATAATCTATGATGAGCCACAAGATATCCAAATCAAACATGCATGAGTTCCATATACAGGGTGTCCCTGAGAGGTCTGTATGAAACCTCATCACATAGTCCTGACGTCAAAATTAGCCGATTTGAAGCAATTCACCTCAGTCCGAAATTACTCCGTTTTCAAGATACAGGGTGGTAAATTCAAGAAATGGAAATCGACAAGTACACTCCGAAAAAATATTTCGAAAAATCTATTTTTGCACTGCTCATTCACTGATCAAATTTCACCAACTAAGATGACAGCTAACATTTTATATTCGGAATAATTAAAATATTCCGGTGCATCATCGAACACTAAAAAGATATCCAGAAAACAGCAAACTTTCAGCGAATTTTCACGTGAAAAACTACACTACACTTCGATTCGTCTGATTCTCTCCAAGGAATATTCGTTTAACAAACCCTAATCGACTGACCTCATACTGACCTATTCAGAATCGGAAAAATCCAGGACCGTTCTTGAAAAATTTCGATAGTTTCGTTTTCATTAAAAAGTTCATCCTATATATGATTTTTGTGAACTGTGACTGGGAATTTTCGAAGCACAGAAACGAGCATCAAGAATAAAAATAAAATATTCAAAATTCTCCTCGAACTCTCACAAAATGTTTCAAAAAAACTATAAATTATAAGCAAAAACAAAAGTTTGACAACCAATTTTATTCATTCGGAAATAATCACTTCGCAACGCATATATTTCACAAATGAAAGTGAGACCCACATTTTCAATACTTCAGCCCAATGGAAATCAACATGTTTCTTCATCTCCAGGCCTGGATTTCGTCATATAATTTTTTGTGGAGGGTAATAATCACCCTGTAGATCTTTTTCAAATCAGTAGATGGAGTATCTGTTTAGATGTTAATGGTCATCGATTCAAATAATTCAAGATAGTCGAACAGAAAATGAAGGTTTACTCACAATTATTTTTCAAAAGCTAAACTGATAAAGGCGGATAATAATTCTAGTACGGAAAATAAGTGACCAAATTAACTGAATGAAATGAATCGAATGAATAAAACTGTCAATTGAGATCATGAAATCATTTATAGCGATGGCCATCAACATTTTCACATATGCCTCATCCACTGATTCGAACAATATCTACAGGGTGATTATTATCCTTGACAAAACAATTGAATTCCTAAATCCAGGCCTGAAAATAAAATAATATGTTGATTTCCATTGAGCGTAAGCATTGAAAATGTAAGTCTCACTTCTATCTGTAAAATATATGGGTTGTGAATAAATTTTTTGCCAAATTTTTGTTTTTCCATAAAATTCATAGTTTTTTTTAAACTGCAGTGAAAGTGTGAGAGAAATTTGAGATATTTCATTTTTGGCTATATACCAAACTAACAAAATTTTTCAAGAATGGTCCTGATGGATTTTTCCGATTCTGAATAAGTCAGTCGATCAGAGAGTAGTTACGGAATATTCAATGGAAAAATCAGACGAATCGACGAAGCTGTTGGAAAGTTATGACCAAAAGATGTTTTTGCCAAATATAAGTTGTTTTTTCTTGTTGAACCTTGTTCAAAACGATTTGAAATCAAGCATTTTCTTGTGCAAGTTATGACGACAACATGTAATACGGTTCATTCGGGTTCAAAAACTCCTAAATGAACGGTTCGAACCAGGAAAACCAGTGGAGGAGTGAGAAAACGTCGAAGTTCGATGGTTTGAACGTTTGAGGTTATAAATATTATTTTTGAGAAATGCTTAAAAAATGGAGTGTGATGTAGGCATGGTGCATAATTTTCCACTTCAGGATGAGGACATTTCAGAGAAGAAAAATCATTTCCAGATTATTATCTATTTCTCTGGTTCAGCATTTGTGAAAGACAATGTGATTCAATTTTTTTACATTTCTCAAGTTCTCACAGATAATCATCAATTTTGAAATTTCGGTTTTCAGGTTATGTGTTATTTATCTGAATTATGACAGCTTCAATTTCAAAATAGTCTGTTCTTGAATGCGATAATTTACTACGTCACGCTTGAAAACGGTTCAAAATTAATCTTGAACACGGTTCAACAAGAAAAAACAACTCTGATAATTCATCCTATATATTGGAAAAGAAGTGTAGAAGACACTTTCTCATGGACATTCGGTATTCCTCTCAGGCGCCTCTATTCGTGGTATGAGTATGAACAATTTCTAATGACTCACCCTGTATAATTATCATGTTATATTACTTTCTGTGAATAATTTTTTCAGGCTCGTCCTGTTTATATTCCTTAATATAAAAATTAAACTGAATGAAAAAAAAAAATTGATGAATGACGCCTTGACCAATGATTTCATTACCATCCTGTATGACCAGTATATCCGATTATGAATATTGATGCCTTCAGGTGCATAAATTAGATCAGATGGTTGATGTACTCACTGAAATAATTTTCCTCTCCATTTCGATAAATGAATATTTCTCTCTTGGGAAATTATTTCTCGCTCACGACAATGAGCTTAAATGAACTCCTTTTTGTCGACCAAAAAGTCTTTTAATCATTGATGATTATAAATTGTGGAACGCATGTTTGTACAATTATACTTCAGAATAAACGATGTTGATTTACTATGTCTTTGAGGAATTATATCATACGAAAGATCGCGCCGATTTCATATAGGCACAGTATAGCTATTTCTTATACGGTAACAGATAGAAAACTGATCGAATTATACAAAAGTCGCGTATTTCGAACCAATTCAATATGTCGTTTTGCAAACTGCAAAAATTTCAGGCATACCTGAAATATTTTGAAAAAACAATCGAAAATCACTGATTTTGTTTTTATTCATTTTCTCAATTGAAATATGAGAAAGAAATTTGAAATGTTGCGTGAACAGGTAAATAATTATGATAAAGGAGATTGGAATGACAGCAATATTTCTTCATCATTATTTTCAGAGATTCAGAATTCAAATCAAATCTCATAAAATATTGAGGAAAAAGCATAAATAAAAATGTCCTGCTATGTAATGAATTGC